GCACTGAATAGGAAAGAAAATAAGGAATAAACAATTCACATACACGCACATAAATAAATAAATAGTTGAATGAATCAAACAATCATAGAAATAAATATAATAAATCAATAAATAAAATGGATGTTAAGGTCCGGGTTATGGCAACTCAGAAACTCATTTTCTCCCATTTCTTCTAATCCTCCTTTATCTTCCCATTCCTTCGATCCTCTTTTGTTTTTCCCTCTCTTACGATGCTCATTTGTTATCGACTTCGCTGTACTCGATCCTGAACCCCTTCGATCCATATTTTCCCGCGAAGAGGATCCTGATGAGGTTAGAATCCGATACGATCTGCCTCGGAGCCCAACGGTGCGGCAGGTAGATCACGCTGCCACGGCGGTAATAGAGCTCTGTCGTGGGATTCACTGCCAGGAAGTTGGAGTATCGGATCCTAAGATGCGTCACGTCGATCTGAACCTTTTTCCCCTCCGAAGCCTGGCCGAAGAGGACGGAAGGTTAGTATTGGAACGCTTATAGACGGTTGGAAAGCGTGGTGAAGTGGGGTTGAGTCACTGATGATCAAGAAGTGATAGGATTGGATGGAGTTAAGGGGGATTGGATACTTTGTAATCGAGAAAGTGGTAGAATAGGGAGTTAAATGGGATTGAGCACTTAGTAATCAAGAAAATGATAGGATTATAATAAGTTCATTGTTATTGAGCAATTATTGATTAAGAAAGGGATCTTATATGCAGTTAAATAGGACTGAACACTTAGTGATCAAGTGATAGGATTATAGAGAAAGTTAAGTGGGATTGAACACATAGTGACCCAGAAAATTGTAATTATTACAAGATGTTAAAGGTGATTTAGCAGTTGATGATCAAGACATCGTAAGGATTATAATGTGATGTTAAATGGAAATAAACATGCCTCTGAGACCGAACTTAACAACTAGTGTTTAAGATTTTTAAAGAAATGATAAGATTCGCTCTTTGAGAATGAACATCATGTCTTTCTGTCTTTCTTTCTTTCTTTCTTCGATTCTTTTAGATGTGTTACCTGTACTGAACAATTTATGAAGATTATCAAGTTATCAAAACGTATTTACTGTATTGCACATTTAGCGACTAAGATCAACAAATCCGTGTTTTGTCATAGGAGTGTTAATCAGTATAATCTTTATATACCAGCTTAAGCAGGCAACATGTAAAGGAAATCAAAGGTGATGATAGAATAAACCAGTTACTTCAAGAAAGGTAAAAGGAATAATTGAATTTATCAAAGAGAAAGAAAGATTTATATATATATATTATATATATATATATATATATATATATACTATGAGAGAGAGAGAGAAGAGAGAGGAGAGAGAGAGAGAGAGAGAGAGAGAGAGAGAGAGAGAGAAGAGAGAGAGAGAGAAAGAGAAAGAGAGAAGAGAGAGAGAGAGAGAGAGAAGAGAGAGAGAGGAGAGACTGTGAGAGGAAGACACAGAGAGACAGAGAGGAAAACAGAGAGAGAGAGAGAGAGAGAGGAGAGAGAGAGAGAGAGAGAGAGAGAGAGAGAGAGAGAGAGAGAGAGAGAGAGAGAGAGACAGAGAGAGAGAGAGAGAAGAAGACAGATAGAGAGAGAGAGAGAGAGAGAGAGAGAGAGAGAGAAGATTGAGATAGAGAGAGAGAGAGAGTTAAGATACGTTACAGTGATGTGCCATTCGCAGTAAGTTCCTCGGTGTGGTTTGGGGAACATAGGGGATGTGATAACGCCTCCGTCGCCGAAAGTTTCTGAAAATTGGAAAATCAAGTTGTTAAGAAAGTTTCTAAAATTGGAAAGTCAAGCTGTTTAGAAAGATTCTGAAGAGAGAAAATCGAGCTTTTTTTCTGCTTAGAAAGTTTATTTATGTTTATTTATTTATTTATTTTATTATATATTATTATTATTAATTATTATTATTATTATTATTATTATTATTTTTTTGGTCGAAGTTCTGGAATTAGGATATTATTTAAAAGCTTTCTCGGGAAAATCATCCTGTTTAAAGTTCTTCAAGAGGAAAATTACGCCCATTTAAAAAAGTTTCTTCAGTGGAAAATAACCATATATATATATATATATATATATATATATATATATATATATATATATATAAAATAAGGTATACATCTCAAAAAAATATAATAAACAGGATAAAGATCAAACCACATTAATAAATAAACAAATAAATAAAGAAAGAAATGAAATAAAACATAAATGCAACTAAAATTCCCTCCCCAACAGACCAACCCCATCCCTACCTCGTGACAACCTGTATCGCTTTTGACGCGGAGCCTGAGATTGAAGCCTCGCCACCGGTATCTCTCGTTGGACGTGAATGTGGCCAGGAACTGCGCGCTCGGGATCAGTATCGTGCCCGGGCTGAGCGGAAGACCATTCTAATGGAGAGAGAGAAGAGGGAAGGTTATGTTACTTCGAGGATTTGACAGTCAGGCGTGTGCGTTTGAGGATGTGTTGATGGAGGGGGGGA